CAGCTTTTCATTTGTTTTTAGGTCTTGAAAGGGAGTTCTTTAACATTAAAACAAGGAACTGAAAGCAATGTATTTTAAAAAAATCTTTACCCTGCTTTAATGTTTGTAGCATTTTTATTGATCACCTCAAGGATTTCAAGCTTATGACTGTTTGATTTTGAAAAATTTAATTTGTTCTATTAAAAAATAAAGTTTCTTTAGCACTTGAAATGACTGTTCACCAAGAAAACATTATATTACTACTTTTCTGTTTGAGAGCGTGAAAGAAGATTCTTAAGCATGTTATTTCATTGAAAATAGCTACTAAATATAACTTGCTCCAGATCTGATCTGGACTATTTATTGACAACCCAGTTTCCCTGGCAAGAGGCAATAAAATATGTATTGTAATAGATTAAATGAGGGTAATCTTTAATTTATCATGTTTCTCTGCAAAGTACAACATAGTTTTTTAAGTCATTTTTTATTTTGAGTGATTAGATGGTTTAATATTATAAAATGAAAGTATCAAGAAGTTAATTAAATAGAGTTGAATAGTAGTGTAGAGAGGTGTGAGAGGGCTGGAATTTATGTTTCTAGCTTTTGTGTCTTATGGTAAGCCAGGATTTCTCCAAAAGAGGTGTTTTGTTTTGTTTTTTGTTTTTATTTTGGTTTTTGGTAGAACAGCTAGCTTCTCAAACTAGCCATTTTGTTGTCTGGAACAACTTCCAGATGAATGAATACTTAAGGTGAGAAAGTGATCTGGAGTAGTGACAAACCAGTGTTCCAGAGAAGAAACGAAACATAAAAAGTAAACTTTAGCCACAGTTACCAGTATGTCTTTATTTAAGAGGGAGATTACATTTTTTCCTTTAAATTATAATTAACTATAATATATTTCAACTGTTTTAGTTTTATCCCTCTTCTATTATAATCAGTTTAATATTGCAGTAGAATGATCTGGTATGGTGAGTTATGTTTCCCAGTCTTCCTTTTGAATAGGTAAATTTTGCTGTCTATTGAAGTGCTGTTGAATAGGTAAATTTTGCTGTCTGTTATTATAGTGTGTAATCTTAGATTGTAATTTAAAAACTATTATTTGTGTGTTTGTATTTATTTACATGCATTCTATGAAGAGTTGAAAAGATTTTAGACTTTGGAATTGGGTTTTATACCTTTTGTTTAGAGTCTTTGGGCATGATATTAATTTCTCTGAACCTTGATTTTCTAATCTTTGCAGTAATTAATAATGACCATTGTGTAGATTTATTTTAAGGAGTAAATGAATTAACCTTTGTGATGTCTTGCACACAGTAAGTGTGCAATAAAAGTCAACTCTTTCTTCTTTGGTAAGATCTTTTTAGAGAGTTACTTCCAGATTTGATAATGCTATATTGAAATAATTTTCTTCAGGTTTTCTAATAGTCTCCAAGGAAAAGTAAGAGATATCAAAGAGAATTGTGTGAACTTTAGACTAGTGAAGAGAAAAGGAATTTACTTGAGACAGAAGGAGGCAAAAAGTTCGCCAAGCAATTTTTTTTTAATGTTTGCTTGACTACTGTACAAGATTGGTGTGACTTGTCAGGGTGCCATTATGTACTAGGAGTATGCTTTATTGGAGGTAGAAGTTTTATGTACAGTTTGTTGTAATGTAAGGAACTTAGTAAGATTAAGATGACTCAAAGGAAATGTCAACCATGTGGCTGGGAAAGTCCCTCCACCCCCTGCTCTTTTTTCCATTCTAAGCATTTATTATATACTGAGCATCTCTGATGTTATGCTGTTAACTGTCATTATTCAAGAGAGGATTAATTGTATCTAGTGTAAAATCATCATAATTTCTAATATTTTAAGTTTGGATTACTTAATGTTTAAATTTTGGAAGTAATTTCCTCTGCATGCTTGATCATAAATCCTTTGTGCATATTTAGCTCTCTTTGTCCTTGTTAAAACAAGCTAATGTCAGTGTACAAAGCACTGCTTGTAGAAACGTGAATGTGTCTAGTGACCTGTGAAGAAGAGACATTTCAGGGGTAACAAAGTATGTGAAAATGGTTTATATTGGTAATAACAATATGTTACGAAGTTTTTCCAAAGTTTAGAAAAGAATTCCACATATCTAGTTGTTTTGTGACCTTTCTTCCAGTAATAATAGAGTTCAATGCAAAAAAATTGGGAAAACAAAGAAGTACAAAGGCAAAAACCAAAACCAAAAATCACGATCATCCTAATCCTGCCAACCAAAGAAAATCACTTTTAACTTTTTGATGTATGTCAGTGTTTTTTCTTTTCATCTGTGTGTTTATGAAATGATTTTACAAAAATGGTATAATGTTTGAGAGTTTGCTTTTTTTACTTGAAAATTCCTGACAATATTTTCATAGGACAGTTGTGTTTGATAGAAGAGAAACTGTGAAGCTCTTGATGGGTAGAGTATTTGTAAGTTTTTCAGGTTAGTTAAGAGTGGGGATAGAAGGATTAGTTGAAGAAACAATTAGAGAATTTAATTTTACCTGCAGTGTTCAGAATGATTTTAAAGATCAGGAATGGGGTCATCCGTCAGATTATTTCCTGTGATTACTGCCTTAAGAGCTCTTAGAAGAATTTCCCCCAGTGGATTGTGATTTCTTTTTCAGAATAGTCACAGAAGACTTAAGGAGAAAGAGGAGATGGAGACTTTTCTAAGATGAACATAGGTGGGATCAGCCAGACACACACAGTTCGAGTAAATATATTGGTTCTAACAGTGGTGGGACCCTAGTATGCCACAGTGTGGAAGGAACCTCAGGCCCTGTCCAACTCTTAAACACCAGTTTTGCAGATGAGGAACTTGTTTGACTTATCAAAAGTCGTGTAACTAACTAGTATGGGACACTTTAGTAATATGGCAATTGGGCACTATTAAAAAGTATGAAATTTATTACTTTTCTAATTGTCTCTATTTTTGCTTTGTATTTTTCATGTCTTGAGTTTTCTTATCTCCCTCAGTTTTCTACCCATCTCCATATACTCCCATCTTTACTTTTTTCTCTCTCTCCTCTTCAGTTAGCCATTATGTGGAATTAATATTTTAAAGTCATTGTTTATATTGATTAATTTTATCTTCTCTGTTTAAGGTTTTTAAAAAGGATCATTTAACTTTTATGTGCCTTTCACAAAATGGAATAAAATTTAATTACTGTGTTTTACTTCTATATAATACTAAATTTATGATTAATATTTTATTATCATCTTATCATTGCTATTAATAGGAGCCCCACAACATTTTATCTGAAAAAAGAAAAGATTTCCAGCTCTTGTAATGGGAAACCAGTATTGGCCAGAGTAGGCTGGATGGGGCAAGAATTGTCAGAAAAGCCCATGGGGGAGTAGGTGATATGATAGAAACACCCTCACTAAAATAAGTTGTGAATCCACTTGTTCCCCCTTACTTTAACAATTAAAACATAAATGCTAATTTGTGAGTGCTAATTTAAGAGGAGAGAACTTTCTTTTTTGCAAGAATTTTTTAAAGTCCCACGGGCAAAGAAAAAAGAAACTAGATGAGTTTATGGGATAGAGGTTTTCAGTTAAAGCCATCTGGAAAGACTTGAAAGCTGAAGGGTGTGGTTACCACTGAGTTTCATAATTACCCAGAAAAGAAAGAGATTAGGGAGGTTTTTGTAAATTACGCAGTCTCTGGCAAGTATACAAGTCACAGAGAACAGACAGTTTTACTTATAAATTCTTTGGAAAAGTATTTGCTTTCAGTGGCTAAATGAAGCAAAAGGGAATCCTTTATTCAGATTGAAATCAGAGTCAAATGACAGAATTATAGTAAGGGTAACTCTATAAATTATAATCTGTTTGGGTTCATGTCAAAGAAAACCCTAGTTTAAAAAGTAAGGAAATGTTATTTTATCATATAACAAGAAGTCCAGAGATAAGGTAAATTTCATGGTTAGTCAATTCAGTGACCCAGTTTCTTAATCTCTCTCTGCCCTGTCATCATTATAGAGTTGATTTCATTATCAGACCTCTACAAATGGGCTATAGCAGGAATGTACATTTTCATACAGATTCTGAACATTTCCAGAGGAACAAAAGTACTTTCTTCTTCTCTGTAGAGTCATTTAAAAGTAAGGAAACATTTCCTTGAAGGCCCCCCCCACCCCACCCCCACCAGAGATCCTCATGTTTCATTAGCCAGAATTGGGTTTCATACCATTCTTAAACTAATCTTTGTTGAGGGGCACAGGATTAGGACTTGATGATAATTTGGGGTAGAATGGATATATGTGGGGAGTTCAGTCCCCATGACCATAGTAGTACCTAGTGTAACAACTAGTTACTGTACTGTAACAACTCCTCTTAAGAAGGAGATTTAGAATTTATTAATGAAGTAAGTAAAGCATAGTGAAACATGAGTCCCAGCCCCACCACTCAAGAGCTGTGTGATTTGGGTTAAATTCATTAATTTCTCTAAATATGCATTTCCACATCTGTAAAATGAAGATGATAATGCCCAATTCATAAGGCTGTTTTTTAGAATTAAATCAGATAAGTAAGATAGCACAGATTCTAACATTTAGTATTCAATAAATATACTATTACTATTACTGGTGCTTTTATCTCTATGTAGTTTTGTACTCAAAGAAAACTCTAAAAATGGTATTTTCACTTTAAAGGATTAGTTGTTTTTTTTCCTGAAAATACAAGGGCCTAGACCAAAGTTGTTGGAGCTCCCATTTCCTTCTCTAGCTTTTTTGTATAGTAGTACAAAAATGGGGGAAACTTAGTAAGCTTAGTATGAGCTGCCACTAAAACAATTCGTTTACATGGTTGTGTCAACTAATACTTTGCTATTTATATTTGAGGTAGCATAAAAACTGAACTGACACATATTTTATGAAAATGTGCTATTGTATTAGTGACATATTAGTAGTTTTCTTTAATGTAGGCTTCTACATTTTGGTCTTTTTTGCTGTAATAAAAAGTGTAAGCTGTTAGGGTGTAATTCTCTCTTTCTTTGATATTTGCAGATGGCTTGTTCAATCAGTATATCAGTCAACAGGAATATAAGCCACGATGGAGTCAAATCATTCCCAAAAGCACCAAAGGTAAGTCCTACCTTCTAGGTTGTGGGTGCTTTTTCTTTAATGTCCCAGTTTCATGTATCCGAAGGTAGCTCAAGTTTCACTGTACCCTATTAACGAAAAGCAGGTGTTTAAAACAAGACATAGGTTCCTCAACTAGATGGCAGAGGAAGTTTATTATATTAAATTTTTCTTTTAAACCTTTTTGTTTTATTGCTATAACAGAAGGTTGGGCATTTTTTACACAGAATACCATCATAAACTGCTTTTATAGAGACACTATAAAATTATAGGCTATTGTGTTGTAATCCCAAACGTGTCCCTGAAAAACCTTAAGTTCTGCAGAATTGCTCACAAAAGCTAATGGGGCTTATGAGAGAAGTAGAAATGGGACATACCATTCTAAATCTGTGGAACTTTATAATCAGATACTAATAATAAAAACTAATGATAAAAACTAATAATATAACCAGATACTAATAATAAAAAATAACAATTCTAATAAAAATAAATACTAGTACAGTTAAATATAGGCATTTATATTGAGCATCACAGTGATTTTGGAGCTTTAAGCCCTAGGGCTCATGCTTCTTTCCTTGAGCTATAGACCCTCAAGCTGAAGACCACCTCCTGTGGTCTTCATACATTGCTAAAGCCTTCATTTTAAGTGTGAGAAAGCTTTCCTCAAATAGTGTTAAACATTAATATACTGGAGAAAATTGCTTATGAACCTCCATGATTTCTGAGTTATATAAGCATCATTTTCCTGCTTTATCAGTCATATATGAGGTAATTTTCTTCAGAAGTGCATGTTGTAGCAGACTATTATATTTGAAAACTAATGGATTAAATATATAAAATGCAAACATACTGACAATCTGTTCTTTTTTTTAATGATCAAATATCTGTCTTCTTTATTTTTTATTTATTTTAAATTTTTATTTTACTTATTTTTGGCTGCGTTGGGTCTTGCCGCGCGCGGGCTTTCTCTAGTTACGGCAAGTGGGGGCTCCTCTTTGTTGCAGTGCGCGGGCTTCTCATTGCGGTGGCTTCTCTCGTTGTGCAGCATGGGCTCTAGGAGTGCGGGCTTCAGTAGTTGCGGCGCATGGGCTCAGTAGTTGTGGCTTGCGGGCTCTACAGCGCAGCAGGCTCAGCAGTTGTGGCACATGGGCTTAGTTGCTCTGCGGCACGTGGGATCTTCCCAGACCAGGGCTCGAACCCGTGTCGCCCGCATTGGCAGCTGGATTCTTAACCACTGCACCACCACAAGGGAGGCCCTATTTTTTAAATTTATTTATTTTTTTTGGCTGCATTGGGTCTTCATTGCTGCATGCGGGCTTTCTCTAGTTGCAGTGAGCAGGGGCTACGCTTTGTTGCAGTGCACGGGCTTCTCATTGCGGTAGCTTCTCGTTGCAGCGCATGGGCTCTAGGCGCTCAGGCTTCAGTAGTTGCAGCATGCGGCCCCTAGAGCACACGGGCTTAAGTAGTTGTGGCACACGGGCTTCAGTAGTTGTGGCGCACGGGCTTAGTTGCTCCGTGGCATGTGGGATCTTCCCAGACCAGGGATTGAACCCGTGTCCCCCTGCATTGGCAGGCAGATTCTTAACCACTGTGCCACCAGGGAATTCCCTCTTAATCTGTTCTTGAAGGTGGTAATACTGACTTTACTAATTGGGGGAAGAAGGGAAAAAAGGGTGAAACTTCAACAATAATGAGCTATAAATTCTAAACCTAGCTATTAAAAAGGAGAAAGAATTTGCAGGAAACTTTTGAATGATTAGGGCTTGAATACGGCTTCAGTTTTGCATCTTATTTATAATATACAAGAACTGGTATTTCAGTCTTTTTCATAATACCCCTGTGGAATTAGTAAAAATTTGGATGTTCCCGGCACTTCACTGGCAGTCCAGTGGTTAAGACTCTGGGTTCCCAGTGCAGGGGGCATGGGTTTGATCCCTGGCTGGGGAACTAAGATCCCGCATGCCACATGGCGTGGCCAAAAAATACATAAATAAAAAATAAAAATAAAAATGCCCTTTACCTAAAAAACACAATTAAAAAAAAATTGGATGTTCCCTATTTTACATAGGAGAAAGCTGATACAGGGAAAGTTATTACCTAAAGTAATGTATTTCAGTTAATGGGAGAGTTACAAAGAAAACCTCAGGTTTTCTGGTTTACATCAAGTAAGGCATTAGAATCCTGTAACCTTTTGAACCATTGAAATTAAGTTATATATAAAAGATCTGATATAAAATAAGATAAATATAAGTTAAACAATAGTTTTTTTCTTCAGAGGTTTAAAATTTTCACTGATTATATTTAAACCTGCCTATTAAGCTTTGTGATGTAAATAAGAATCAAAGGGAAGCAAATCTTACATTTTGTCAGACAGTACTACTCAAATAAAATAGTTGGTAGATTATGTGGGAGATGATTTTTGAAATATTGGCACAAAATTAATACAGTGATGAATTTATCATTAATGTAAAACTTGATAGCATCTTAGTTTTCAGTAGCTGGTTTTATGAACTTTAAAACTGCTCATTATACTAATAAACCATGCCTGGAGTTATAGACCTGTGATCTAGTTCTGTGATTGTTTTCCATCTTCACTTTGTCACTTCACTAGTTTAGAGATTTTACATTTTTGTGGAATATCCTGTGTCTTTGCTGATTTATGGCATTGGTCCTAAATAAGTTGAAAGTAGCTTCCAGTTGCATTAAGAGCCTGAAAGCAATTAGAAAAAAAGAGCAAGATAATTATTATAAACTTAGTTATGTCATATTATGTCTCTTACGAGTCCTCTTATTCTTAATATTGAAAGAATAAGTGTGTGTTATTCTCACTACTCATTACAGACTTATGAATGAAGTTACTCTGGATATGCAGTTGTTCTGTGGTATTTCTTTAAAGAAAATATTGTTTCTACTTCAGGTGATGGAGAAGATAACCGACCAGGAATGAGAGGAGGCCATCAGATGGTTATTGATGTTCAAACAGGTGAGGACTACTTGGAATGGAAAGCAAATTCTTTAAAAAAATTATACATTTAAATATCAGGTAGTCATAAATGTACTTCTTTCCATTCCTTACCAAGTTAAATGTCATTGGCCATAACCAAGTAGCAAAGAAAATTGCCATTATCTACAGGTAATAACCTAAACTAGGCAATGGCACGTCAGGGAGGGGAGGCTGCTGCACAAAGGAAATTAGATAACCTAAAAGAAATGTAACGTGCAGCCCTTTAGAGGTGTGTGTGTGTGTGTGTGTGTGTGTGTGTGTAGTTTTATATGTGTTTGATTTCCATAGTATACTGTGGAGTATTTCTGGATTTTTAGTGCATTTATATTTTAATGCCGTAATATGGGAATTGTTGCAGTAAAAGAGAATTAAGATATATTTTAGAGGGAGAGAATATAAAATTAAGTAGCCTAAGTGTTGGTAGATGCATAAATTGCTAAACACTGTCCACAAGCCTATAAATAATTTGTTTTAGTCTTCTTTTTAATTTTATTCTGCAACTTGGTACTGAAAATTTTGCTTAGGTTTCTACAGCCTAGAACAGCTTAAATACCATTATATTTAGAGGTTAATGCTAAAATTATAATAGGTTTCAAACTACCATCTTGAAAAGCAAATAATACCAAGAATTTTGTATAATTTTATTTTGTTATTTGGTTTTAGAAAACTTTACCACATACAATGCCAGTATCCACCCAAATAATATTTTACTTTTTCCAAGGGTAATAAAAACTCTGTTCTATTATTGTATTATGCTGACAATAGTGCTTCAGGAATAAGGTTTTTTTGACTCATTATAATTACTAAGATTATTGCAATGCAGATAATAATCATCTAGGCATTAATGTATTTTCACAAATGTTTTATAAATAAAAGGAGGAATTATAATATTTACAATTAACTGCTAAATTTGTGTAGTAACCTGTGAGTTTGTTTGGGAGTATTATTAGGGTCTCTTTGGAAAAGTTTCATTTTGAGGCATAGGAATTTGCTTTCCTTATCTTGGCCCCTCTTCCCAGACCCCTTCCTTCCCACAAAAATAGGCTTGACTCAGCTGTAGAGTCCTAAGCATCTTTTTTTCTACCTGAGAGTTCAGTAAATATGCACATGCTTATTTCTCAAAGAACCAGATCTATACAGAAATTGGTTTTTTTAATCCAAAATTAAATACGGTATAAAAAAAGAGTTGAAAATTTGTGTTTAGATTGTCCACAGTAGCTTTTCTCCTCTTTTGAACATACAGTGGAATTTATAATGCTGTTCTTCTTCTTCTCAGTCATGATGAAAATATTATTAAATTCTTTTTTTTAATTGCTAATAAAATACTAGAAAAGAGTGTTGAAAAGCTACTTTAATTTTCTAGACAAAATGCTGTTTTCCTTAAATGCGAAAGTAATGTGGTTTACTTTAACATTTAAAGTTCACCTTATCAGGGAGCAGAAGGAATTTTCATAGTGCTTACTGTGTTGCTTATTATGGAATATGGACTGTATAAAATAGGTAAAATAAATGTGTAAGAAAAGAGGAAGTTTTTCTCTTTTTTTGTAATCCATGATATTTGAGAATGGAAAATGAGAAGATTCAAATGATAGGCAAATATCCTGACAGAACTTTGTGTGAGCAGAGTCATTGACGATTAAATGCTGACTTTTCAGGTCAGAGATCCTTTAAGTAAAATACTTACAGCATATAGTGATAAAGGTCCACACATTTTTCTGTAATATCTTGGTTTTATGCATTAAGGGCAGGGTTTCAGCAGACTCAAGGTCCTTATCCCCATTCCCTTTAAAAAAATATTTCAAGGAGAGGAAAAGTGTTGTTTCAGTATTTACTTGGTTTGCTTTAGAAACAATAATTATAAGAAAGCAATGACTTAAAGTAAGTCATTGTAAATAAGAATGACTTATTATAGGCATGGGATATATTCCAGATGGAATCATTAAAGGCATAATCTCTCATAGTTTCTGAGGCTTTATTATAGGTTGACAAAGGTCTACAATGAAAAATTGATCAGTATCCATACTTCTGTATGAGCACTAGTTGATAAAAATGTAATAAAAGTACTTTGTGAATATATTTTTAAGCAAATATTTCTACTATAGGAAATTTAGGGACTTAGCCATCAATAGAGGGATTATTATTTAGAGCCATTTTGTGTCTGTTTCAGTGCTTTTTTCCCACCCCACCCCCCAAACTTTCTGAATGCTGGGTCAAGCTTTATTTAGGTCCATGTGTGATGATTAAATGAGATTTTGAGCCTTTAACAGGAACCAAAGTCTGGTAAAACTAAATAATCATGATAGTTAATATCATGATAGTTAATATAAAGTTGTCCATAACTCAAGTGAGCTTGATGGTCAGTATGTTACCATTACCACTTATAGTGTGGAAACAGTACTATGTGAACGGTGAAGTTGAAGGGGTTTAACCACATTCAGATGATCCTTTATATGAGTAATAGGGAGTATGAGTTATAGGGATGGTGTGTAAAACATATTGGTATGGAATTCTTTATAAATATATATAAATGAACTGGTGATGCAATTAGGGTTGGGATCCAGATTGAGATAGAGGAGAAATGCAGCTTCTGAGGATTCAGGTGTCTGGAAGCAGAGAGAAATGTAAGGAAAGATGCCCTAGGAGTCAACCAAGTCAGAAAAAGCTTTGAACTTTCATAAGACTCTAGAATAGTGGTTTAGGTTAAGTTTAAACACGTGTCTGGTTGTGAGGGTGGGTAATCCAGGAATCTGATATATCAAGAGAAAACAAAAGGAATTTTTAAAATGCCATTCAAAAGTCTAGTAACTGCCATACCCTGGCATTCCGACTCTTTTGTTTCAGTTAACCATTGCTATCTATATTCCTTTCTATCACCATGCTCTATCCTTTTTAGTATTTCCTTGTTCTTAGATGAGGCTTCATGAGTGGGCTTTAAGGAGGCCCATAATACTCTTGAAATGGTATGTAATATTTTTGTCTGCCTTTGTGGAGTTTATTGGGAAGATTCATTACCTATATATTTTTTAAAGGGTTAAATATTTCTATTAAGTTTTGACATTACATGGTAAGTAAATACTGCTGGTATTCATATAAAATTTCAAATGAAATTCCTTGCTCTGTGTAAGTGGTATTCATTGTTGAAATAATAGTGTTTCCAAAGTAAACTCTTGACCACCTTTCCTCTACTCTTGTTTTTTTCCCAGATTATTTGTTGCTAGATATAAGGTGGGTGAGGAAGAGAGTAAAGGTGATAAAGTCAGAGAGGTAGTGAGGGGCAGTTGTATTGAGTTCTTTTGTAAGAACTTTAACCTTTACTCATAGTGAGATGATTAAAGGAAAATATTGTTGGGTTTTGAGAAATGTTACTGACTTTGCATTTTAACAAAAAACAAATTGGGTGAAGGGCAGAAGCAGAGCGACCTTTAACGAGGCAGTTCCTTACCAGAGAAGTGATGATAGCATTGGCTTTTACTAGAGTGGTGATCACAGTGTTGAGAATTGGTCAGATTTGGGATGTATTTTGAAGATGTCACATACAGCTGACAGGATTTACTGATGGATTGGCTATGAGGTGTGAGTGAAACGAGTAATGAATGACTCAAGGTTTTGACCTGAGTAGTTGGGAAAATAGTATAGCCTTTCCCTAAGATGGGTAAAACAAGTGGATTAAATATGGTGGGTTGTTCAGCAACTTGTTTTTAGACAGGTTGAGATGCCAGTTAGACATTCAAGTATATAGATACGTCAAGTAAGCGGTTAGATATATTGTTTGGGGTTCAGGAAGACAGGTCCAGGCAGAATAATCATTTCCCTTTCTGTATTTACATAGCACTTTGTTCATACTATTATTTTTACTATAATGATTTCCAAATTGTTTTAGAGTTGCTTGTGTAGGTGTTATGTATCCCATTCCTCTCTATTCAGCTTTCTCCTTTCTACCTCCCATCCCCAATATTCTTATTGACAGGGGAAAAACAAGAATCTTGCATTATTTATTTTTATGGCCGCAAAGCCTGGTATGGAGTAAGTGTGTACTGAATATTTGTTGAACTGAATCAAAATTTTAAAATCCATTTTCCTTCGAGTTGAAAGAAAAATATTTACTTGGAAACTACACTCTGATATTGCTTTAAACCTTGATGACTGGATTGTGTCATGATGTCATTTGTTGTAATATGCTAATATTTTTCTGAGGTGAATTTATGTTATTGGTTATACTCTAATATATTTAAATTTTCTGGTGATTCTGTTTGTTCTTTTCTAGTATATAGACTATATTTCCTTAAAGCTGTAGTTCTTATTACCTTGGAATCTAGGTAGAAAAAGGTTATGTAGACTTTGCATTTTTTTAGGGTAACAGTTGGTGCTTTCTGAATTTAATTTGGGTGTAGGAGCAGAATCTGGGATATCTTTGGGATTTTTTTCTCTAGAAATTCTGCTTCTATTGTAAAATTATTAATAGCATAATTTACCAAGGTGGTTTCATATACTTTTATTTTATCATTTATGTACCAGAGTCTTATAACTGCTATCATCAGGTTGATTTTAATTATCTTCAAAGTTGTATTTCTTGTTAAGTCTCTGAAAGAACCTTTTCTAGTCCAGGCTTACTGATATAACAATTAAATATAGTGGTTGGAGGTTGAGTGTGTGGGAAGGAAGTGTGTGTGTATGAGAGAGAGAGAGAGAGACATACCTGGATTTCAGTCCTGACTTTACCACCGACTTTTTGTTTGATCTTGAATGAGTTATAATGACAATAAAAACAGGAATAATAAATTAAGTTGCTGTGAGAGTTAAATGAAATAATGTCTTATATGTAAGTATCAATATATATTATTTATATAATATGTATTTTTATATGCAACATATTTATCTACAAATATATACTGATTAGTTCTGCTGAGAGAATTTGATGTAAATTTAGAGATCTTTCTTTTGTGTTTGTTTTTTTGACAGAATCTCACAGTGGAAATATT